GTCTCCCTAAAGTGACTGGGTACAACTCATCAGTAAGGATGAGCTGGTACAACTTTCTACTTGGGACCAGCGACTGACAGTTTTGAAAGGTGAGTAGTTTGAGCAACCCCTGCATTCTGTCATCATCCTCTTTTATATCATGATGAGGACTCAAGAAAGTATAAGAGAATATTACTGAGAGGAGGTATGAGGTCATAATTATAAGGTATATCTTCAGTTTAATTATGCTTTTAATGTGTAAGGTAGAATATTAAAGCTTTATGAATGCAGCTAAGTCTGTTCCGGTAATGACTCTTCAAACATTTTTAAGATAATTTAAAAATTCATACCGCTGTGCTATGTCACTGTGATCATTAAAAAACTTCCTCACAGTTTGTTCCATTATAGTCTTTCATACAAACAAGCTGCAAGATCACAGGCACTACTTCTTGTGAATATGTATCAATTAACGCCCAATTAAGACAACTGCTGCGTGTTCCTTTTCAATCAGGAGGAGGAAAAGCAGCAAAACCTAAATCCACAAAAGGTCATTTGTATTCACTGACTCCCTGTAGTATGTATTAGCATGCTGCTCTGCTAGCCTGACTGCTTTAGTTGAAATTAAAAGTTGCCACCCTGGAGAAGAAAACTCCATTTCTATTCTTTCTTTCTTTCCTGCATTTTCCATTCTGCTTCTTTTTTTCTAAAGTAGCTCCTTTTCTATAGTCTGAAATTGTTACTAAGAAATATTACTGACATGTCCTTTGGTCCAAACCAGCAGTGCAGTCATTCTCACTTGAAATTACCTCTTCCCACAACTTTGTATCTCTTCATTTGGTTAACAAGTCTGGAGGTTTGATTTCTTTGCTCTTCTTACTGTTTTGTTTTGGTTTTTTTTCTATGTGCAGATTCAAAGTATCACTGTGCAAACACTCAAGATGAAGGGCTAGCACATTGTCACTGTTAAAAGGTCATATAATGACACTCAAAGATTATTTCCAGACTTATGCCACACAATAAAAATTTAGAAGTCAGTTAATGTATACCTTTGATTTCCAGATATCAAGTCTATGGGATATTTTCCCTGCATACTGGGTTATTTGGCTACTGTAATTTCAGAAAGCATTAGAGAAGGTGAGTTCCTATTTCAGAAATCAGTTTGTCTGACTTCTAAAGCAAATTTCTCCATAGCCATTATAGCTTATATCATACCTCACTTCTTAAATAATATAAAATGTGGGATTCATGATTTAATTGCCACAGTAAATAGAATAAATTATATCAGGTGTGTTACAGGATCCCTATGAGGATTAAAATGTAAAAAATGTGTGGTATTACATGATATGGGGAGGCAACTTCATTTGAGCATATATTCAGACAACAGTGCTTTCCAGAGACTAGCATTAAAGTGACCATTGCCTATACAAGAGCAAAAAGGCACATTTCCCCTGAATGTACTAAGCAGCCTTGACTACACCCTGACCATACTAAACTCCTGATCTTCAAAAAACAAATGTGTGTACATGTATCATTTACTGTTGAGTAAATATAAAAAGTAAATATACATTTATTTGTGTGGTAGCTCAAGATTTAATATTCCCTTACTTCATCTTCCATCTCCTTCAAATGTCATGGAAAACTTGTGGTGAGGAATGTTTCCACCCAGGCATTTGAAATCACATGAAGCTAGTTTGGAATGCAACTGTGAATTAAATTTATGGGACGAGAAGATGGCAGTGTTGTACATACTTTAATAGGTAGGTATTGTCTTACTTATCAGCACTTCAAACTCTGCTTGGGATAAAGTAGAGTTGGGTTCTTTCCATCTTTCACATCAGTAAAAAGGATTCTGCAAGCCAAATTAAATATTTAACAACAATTGCACAACAGCACATCTGCAGGTGTGGTGCTGGTATAACTGATCAAGACATAACAGACAATTCTGTAGATAATGTACATAAAGGAATATAATCTTGTTTGTCCCTTTAGCTGGATTGGCTTCTGGAGGTGAGAAGCGATGAAAGACTAAAACCTGGGCATTTAATCACTCAGAGAAAAGATATGACATTGCAACACATTAGGATCAAATCTATTCACATCATTAAAAATCTACATTTAACATAATTTTGCAGATTGCATTACCATTAAAAATTCAGTGGAAGGCAAATCTGCATTTACCTTAATGTGGTACAGGAAACAGAAATGTCTTCAGTTAAAAGTAGGCTAGACTAAACACTTCATCTCTTATAGGAAACGACTGCACTCACGCAGAGTAATGGGCTGGCTCTTTTAAGAAGTCTTTCCCTGGAGCTTCTAATTTAGTAGGCCAGTTTTGAAAATAAAAATAAAAGTCAGATAAACAGAGGCATCACTGAAGTCTAGAAGAATAAGTAAAGCATTTATGTACCTGAGAAACCCAGGTTCCAATTGTAGCTGTCCCAGCGATAATTAATCTTACATCCCCAATTTGACTTTTATAATTTACTTATGAGAGTAATAATATTTATCCACCTAATGCCTAGCAGTGCTGCAGGGATTAATGAGACAATGCTTGCATGTACTTGAGTACCAAGTATTGTAAGATTTATCATACTAACATCCCTAACGGCATAAGATATTGGTAATAAGATTAAAATTTTTTAAAATCATTTAAATGGGAATGTTAAGAAAAAATATGCCCTATACGTAAAAGAAAAATAATTTTTTTTGCTTTCAGTGACAAAAGCAATCCTCATTCACACTCTGCCATCCATATCAATTCAAAACTATGTATTTCTGCACTGAGTTTAGTTCAGATACATTGCCTAAAATTTACAGTTTACTTGACAGAGTTGCAGAGGGGTCAAGTGATTTGCACAAAGTTACATAAAAAGTTAGCTGCTAGCCAAGAGTTAGGATCAGTACCTTGACACTTCATTTGTTCAAACTGTAAATTGTAATGAAATGAGTTTCCAGCTTGCTTCATCCAAATGTCTAAAAAACCAATCAATTATTTAGGTTTTAAAAATCAAACCTTTCAGTACCAAAGGTGATGGTGATTTTCATCCCACAGAACACTTGCAAGTATTTTTTGTCCTACACATTTAAAAATAAAGAACATAAAGAAACCAAAAGCAAGCTCCAAGCACCTGCAACTCGTATATCAAGAAGTAAACTGATCTTTGGCAGGTTATCATCAAAAGAACTTTAACTTGACCTCAAGGAGACAATCCCACCGAAATTTAGCAACGAACAATGAATGCAGGCAGTCAAACGTAACTAACATTGCATTTATGGCAAACCCGAGTCATGCTTTATTAAAATGGCTTATCTAACCTTCAAAGTACCCAGCAGTTATTATTTTGTTTATGTTTATTACTATTTTTGGCCAAGTTTATCAAGTGAAAATTCACTAAAAGTGAATTAACAAAGCAAATAATAAAAATAATTGAGGGCAGAGAAGGACAAAGGGAAAGAATGCGAAATTTAATATTATCATGAGTAACCAGTAAAATTTAGAAGTTGCTCTGATGTAAAAATTTGAGAATATTTAAAAATGCTACATTGCTGTGAAATGTAAAGTTCCGATTCCTCTACAGTACTATATGCAAAGAAACTACTTTTCTCTAACTTCTTTGGGATTTATACAGTTACAATCTCAGGCAGACAATGGAAGAGCCTAAATTGTCTTCAATATGTTATGCTAATACAGTATCATGTGTTCTCTTAACTGCCACATTTGCTTAGGTTTAACCTAATTATTAAGTTTTTATATAGATGTCTGTCTTATTGCTGCTTGCTTTAATTCAATTAGTTTTATCAAGTGAACACTCTTCAAAGACTTAAAGTCTAGGAACCTTATAAACACTTGTGTAATCTGTACCCTGCTGGGGCTGGCAGTGGTAATTTGTCAGTTTTATTTGCAGCAGGCTGTAACTAAACCTTGCCAGATGTAAATCATCTTTTTGTACTACTGCTTGCTGTTTCAGTTGCAAATGAATCCCATTTCTTAGCTTAACACTCACATCAAGAAAGCTAGAAGGTTCCAGGAAAATTTAGAAAACCCTAGAGTCACCTACTACAATGCTTATTATGCCGTCTAAGAGCTGTTTAAGTTAATACTTTGCAAATAGAGTGAATGGTCTCTGTAGGCAAGTTTGGAGTGCAATCAGAATGTGTGATTGCAACAGAAGAGCATATTGAAGCCTCAATCTTGTCAACTTATGCACCACCGGTAGTGACAACGGTGAAACATGGGTGACAACACAGCCTAAGTACATTGAAGAGTATGAGTGCCTAAATGGGAGAGTAGTCTTTGCCAAAGTCTTTTCCCATTAGGTCTCCCTGGGTTTTGGTTTTGTTTTGGTTTTTTTTTTTTTCTTCAAATAAGACCATAAGAAATGCCCTGCTGGGACAGAACTTTGTGTCTAGTGGCAATAGAAGATACTTTCTAGGAAAAGCATGCACACTGAGCTACTTTCTGTGGTCAGCTCCATAAAATAATGGTTGCTGCCAAATTCAGCTGGCTAAAAGATATATAAAATCCCAAATCCATATCCTATTGTTACAGGTCACTACCCATCAGATAAGGGGCACAAAAATCTATTCCTTCCACGTCAGCATCTTCCTGAGACTCAAGTTGGTATATCCCAAATCAGTCTCTGCAGGTATTTCTGTAATGGTGGTAGATATTTTCATTATTATTTTCCATGACATAATGGACATTGCTCATTTCTGACTACTTTATTACCAAATCTTGGCACAGCACTGTGTCATGCAAAGGACGTAACAAACAACTTTATAAAGAACACTAAAACCATATAGTATTAATATAGACAGAGCTATCAAACAAATCATTCCTCGTACAGCACTGACGATATTTTCAGTATATACAAAGCCTACAAAAGGAGGATTGTAAAGCATCTTTTCTAAGCTGTTAGTACAGTTGATTATTTTGCTTATAATCCAACTGCTGCCTCTGCAGAACCGAAGTTTCCTTTAGCCTTGACTGGCCGATTTTTGTGTGCACTGGATTCCCTTACCTTGAGTGAGCTAGAGCTTTACTAAGAGTCCTCAGCTCCTTTTCTGTTTCTTTAAATGGGGAGAGCCTCTTCACTGGTTCCAGAGGATCAGACTGAAAGTGATCAAACTGAAAAGAAATATTATTGTATTAATTAAGATGAGCTTAGCATAAAGAAGGTATGTGAAATCTCATGGTTCAGTTTTAATCACCAAATATTTTCTGAGATGATCATCATCTGGGACAGCATTATGTCATTTCACAAGCATGTAAACAAGCTTTATATGATACTGCTGTACATGTCCATGTGTACATGTGTTCCAACAGCTTTTAACTCATTAGCTGACTTCAAGTTTGACAGAGATCTTACAGGCAGTTAAGCACCCACAAGCTTCATTAAACTATGAGGCAGGAAGAAGAGACTGTTCAATGGCCTAGACTTAAGGAATGACTGCTGTGAGTGCTTATGCATTAACAAACTACAAAAAGCATGCATAGAAGAGAAATCTTTTAGAAGTCCCAACCCAGAAAATATTTCAGACTCAAAGCAAGGAGGTTGACATTCATAAAAACCAAAAGAATTAGAAAAACTCCACAGACAGAGCTGGGTTTGGAGCACAGAACATAATGGGTTTATTATTTTCTTTATTTTTTAAGAGTGTACAAACCAGGTCAGCAGTTTTACATAAGGGAATTAAAATCACCTGCTTAATACATTTTTCAAAATGCCTGCAATTATTTTTTTTTTCTGAGCAGCTATGGAACTGAAAAACATGGGAGATGAAAGCTTATATTTGTTGTTGAACTAGCCCTGGCTTAGAAGCACCCTTGGGGTTTCCAGAGAACAGCTACATCAGTTTTGTAGAATTACAGCTACATGCTGTGCATATGCAGTGTTTCTGTATGTTTTAGGTAATAAAATATGCAGCTGAGGCAGTGTTCAATGTGCAAAAAGTACACAGCTAGATTGCTATCCATTGGGAGGGGCAGTGATGGTGTCTGGAGACTGAGGGGCAGCCTAAGGTATTCCTTGAGGCAGATCTGTGCATTTCATGAGTGTCTTATTTTTCTGGACACCTTAAATTCCCAGTAAAGGAAATAAAGATGATCCTTTATTATGCACTCAAGAAAGTATGCAATAGGATAACACAGATCTCAGTTGGATCTGTGCAGAGAAATGCTCACCTACTCAAGAGGCTGTAATTCTTATTTCAAATCTTTATGCACATCTGAGCGTACTGGTTTTGATTGCTGAAACAGGTGGCACTCTGCATATGGACAACACTTATGATAAGATTGAGCCACATACTTTACTCCTTTTTAGTTGTGGGGTTTGGGTTTTTTTCTTTTTGATTCTGAGAACATTCTGGAAAGTGCAAACAAAAGACAAGACTTCTTTTTGATGAGATAAAAATAATAATTGTAAATGAGAACTGAAAAGAGAAAAATGATCAATGAATGCATTGGTGAAATGTTTTGGGTATTCAAGTCAGAGTGCTTCTGCCAGCAAAACAACTGGCACAGTTGCACCTTTTAGCAGGACCTCCACAGCACATCTTGCTTTTCAACTTTGATCGCTTCCAACAAATCTGACTGATCTGAGTTAGATAAAAAACGCAAATTAAATATTGTGTGGTCATAGGTGAGGTGATATTGGATGCTGAAGCCAGGCTAACACACGTGCTTTCTTAAAGAAAAACTAAAAAAATAATTTAAAAAATCATTAGTGTTAGTTCTCAATTTTCATATAATTGTGAATGTACCATCCTTTCTATTTTGTTTACACCTTATTCTTCTCTTTTTTATAAAAAATTATGGTCAAATCAGCTGTCTGGTATTCAATTTTGTTCTAAAGAGAAAGGAGATGGATCAGATTTTAAATAAGCTAACAAAGACAATGCATAATGAAAAATTAAATCTTTTTCCAGGATTGTCAAATAAAATTCAGGTAAATTGTTAAATGCATATAGAGAAATTAAAATGTATTTTAATTACAACATTTTATTTATGTATTACAAGGCTTGAATTGCTTCAGGATAGATGGCCAATGCTACTCTGTATTGCTGTATGACAGGCCCATGTACACAACATATACTTGGGTGGTCTTGGATGAATTGGAACAGACTCACCACAGTAACTGTTCTGTGCTGACCAAAAAGTGGCATTTAAGTAAAATTATCTCCAGGCTTTTTAATATTTAAAATTGCAGGTTAAGATCACACCAGACAAAGGTTGAAAAAATAGATATAGGCTAGATCTTCAAGAACTGTTAATTTGTACAGCCCTACGTAACACCCAAAGGAACAGCCCTTTCAGCTTCAGGTTTTTGAGATCCAAAGATGTGCAATATTGACCTATGTACTTTAATAAAAATATGAATTTTTGAAATAAAAAGACATTTTGAATGTATTAGCCATTTCTGTGCTAAACTGTAATATAGTTTAAAGGTCAGTCTTCTAGAACTGATGCATGGAATAATACAGCTAAACTGCATTTTCAGAACACTATTTTTACCGAATTACAATAGAATCCTACGACTCATGAGTGATTTGTTCTGATACCTTAAGGAGGAATCTTACTAGATAAAACCTATGAAACGTTCATCAGGCAGCAAAAGGCTTGTTCCTGATGTACAATAAGGCTTTAAACCTTGAATTCAGCAAACATATCTATACAATTAAAACATGATGTTTGCCTGTTGCTTTCTTTAAGTTCATCTTGAATCAAAGCTTCACCAGTAGTCTCACCTCTGCATTGAAAGAGTCCTCGTCAGTAGTTACCTCAGCCGCTTCTTTGGGTGTTTTTTCTTGTCCTTCTTTTTTCACTGGTTCCTAAGAAATGAACAAACCCATGTAACTGTACTTGAAAGCTTGCTAGTCACCCATACCATAGCAGGCCATAATTTTCAAAAATTAGGTGGTGCAAATAGGTTTTTCTACAGACATACAAACTAAAGCAAAAATAATGTCTAGTCTATTGTAGAAAAGCTTAAAATGTCACTAAGTAACTCTGGTGCACAAATGGATTCTCATATGAAGCACCTGCTGACAAACTACAGTGCAAAATGCATACATGCTTTCTAAACTACTATGCTTAAATGCTCAGAAAATGTAACTTTTCTCTTGAAAGACTGTTATGTAGACTACTGTGGCTAACATAAGAAGAAAATCCAATTTTCAAAACCAGGAATAGAAAGTGACTTACCTGTAATTGCTCTTCCCTGAAGATACACACTGTGATAGACCGCTATTCTGGGGTCTGTGCTTTCACCCAGGAAAGGCACAGACTCATAAAAAGCCCTGAAGTCAAACACAAGCACACTTTCAGAACTCCTTCAAACGTCAGTTTATTCAAATGGAAGGAAGACATATTCCCTCCTATTAAAAAAACCACGTATAGGTAGATTAATAAAAGACTTTAGATCCCTCAGCAGTGTGTAGTGCTCAGGCTAAAAGGATACGAAAACACTAATTCCTTTCTGCACTAGTTACAGATCAAAGAGCTCATTTATTGATACCAGCAAAGCAAAGCTGGAGGCCCTAGCAAGTCACACCCATGTAGTCAGGGTAGAGCTGATGTATAAAAAAGGCTGCACAGAAGACTCAAAGCTGCAGATGAAATACTTTCTATGCTGTATAGCTTTTGCACAACAGAGCAAAGATTCAACTATCTAAAAAAAACCAAAACCTTAAGAGCAGAGCATTTTGCTTGTAGGAATCTTGAGAAGGCACAAAATTCTTTCCAAATTTATGTTTCTATTTAACATTTCAGCAGAACAAAGGTTCAAAGTGTAAGGAACAGTATCTTCACTCAGTGGAGAACTGCGAACACCAGCGCTCTAATGACTGAGGCAGCCCACAAACAAGTGGAAAGCTAGGGGGAGGGAAGCAAACCCAGCCCCAGAAATGGTACTAACAGCAAAGTAAATGGAATCAAAGGAAGATTTTCTGTAGCCAGTGTATAAGGATGAGCTCATGAAATGTCACAAGGAAGATGAAAGGCTCCACTGTTTCATGCAACTGGGGTGCACTTGACCAAGACTGGTCAGCAGCAGACAGGTGACAAATTGACACTACTCAGGAGCACAAGTCTTACAGAGGGCTACCAACAAACCTGAAAGCCCACCTCAGTGATGGAGAAAACCTCATTCACCCACTGAACAAGAGAGGAATCATTTTACAGTCTGAGTGAGCACCCATACTTCACTCTTAGGAGATGCTAATCAGAGGAGATTACTGAAGATGAACATGCATTCGGTAGGAAGAGTCTGTTGCACTGAATTTTAGGCAAAATAAGTATTTGTCATTACATAAATTTAATCACCAATATTTAGTATATTTTTCCAGAGTTCAGTTATTTATTTTAACCATTTGTAGTAAGAAGCAGATTCTAAATACTAAATGTCTTTATCTGTGAAAACAGGCTTTCAAAAGTAGACTGGATTTCAGAAGTGAGTTGCCAAACAAAACTGCTTTAAAAACATAATCACTTCCAGCATAAATCTGAAATACTCAAAACTACATTCTTGTATATTAATGAACACAAATGATCTATACAGAACATAAACAATGCTAAAACACAAATAATTGTTTATTCATTTTGCTTTACCCTTCTAAATTTCAGAGTAGTCTTAAGGTAGAAGGGGGCCAGATGGATGGAACAGAAGAATTTGTAGGTGAAAGACAGAAAGAAGCTGGTTCAGAAGCAATTTGGTTTTAAAATTGGAAAAGTTTTCATATTTTGGGCAATATTTAACCTGTATCAGGGCACACAATTTTCTGAGTACAATGAGAAAATCCAAGAAATTCTAAGTATTTGGACATCCTTCAGTCTTCTGTCTCCTCTTCTGTTACTATTTCTGTATGGCTATCTTCTCTGCATTGCACATCTATTTATAATCTGCAATGCTAAACACCACAGCATCATCCCATAGCACAATAAGCAACAGAACCAAAACCCATAAGCTTGTGTCAGTTTTCTCATCACCTCTGCTATGGGAATAACACGCAGCAGATTTGCACTGATGGGACTTTTTTTTTTATTGTACATATTATCTGTATTTAAAGAGAAAGCTCAAAGAAATCTGATCTGGACTTGGAGTAGAGCACTCCAGAAACAGAATTTCCAGTCCACTTTGCTCCTGACACTATTGGTTACTTTTTTTTCAAGCAGAATATATTGAGAACAGCCAGGTACCATTGCTTTTACAGCTAGTGATACCTTGAAATACATGATTAAAACTAACTGAGAATTACTTGGTAAAGGGAAGGAAGAATGGTCGAATGTGCTAAGGTTTCAATGGCTTGAAAGCACTGATCACTGGTATAGGGCGTGGAGCCATGTAGCTATATTAAAGTGTCTAATGCCACAGAGCACTGAAGAAAAGTTCTCAGGTGCAACATTTCCCTGCATCCTACCTCTGGCCAGGCAGGTCTGGCAGTTCAGGAGGAAAGGAAGGACCTCTGTGAATCTACCTCACCTTTGCACAGTTGCTCAGGGACAGAGGTATAATTAGAATTAGCAAAAACAGTGGCCTTAAAAACAAGTAGTCAAAAAAGGTAAAGAAATTAGTCAGTTTACAAAGATGTCCGTATCTCAGTGATTTTTAAATAGTAAGCTGTCTTTGAGATACACTCTTTCCCGAGAAGTAAATAATTACTTCTTCCCCTCCTGCCCAGCTTGTACCTTAAACTCATGCACAGACTAAATCCTTCAAACAGGGGTAGTATGTCATTCCAGTCCCACCCATGCCAATTATTTGTAACCT